AATAATTTTTTACTCAAATACTATCAAAACTTTACAGAAAAACTGCAAGAAACAAAAATTATTTATTTTCTTCTCATAAAGTTCTGAGAATTTTTGCAGAATTTGTTCAGAATTTTTTAATACCGTATTTTTTCATGTTGGTAAAAATAAGAAAATGCAATACTAAAAAATTTAGTTAATAAAAAATTCTGAAAAAATTCTCAGAACTTTATGAGAAGAAAATAAATAATTTTTGTCTCTTGCAATTTTTCTGTAAAGTTGTGATAGTATTTGAGTAAAAAATTATTCAAAACCAATATTTTGCAATTTTTAGTAATTAATATCTTGTTAACTATTGCGAAAATTGTAAAATGGTAGAGGACTTTTCGACTCAGTTTAGTCCGCTCTATCTACACAAAAGTGATTGCCAAAAAAGGTCGGGACACCCTGTATACATGTGTGTGTGTGTGTATACATATTGATGCACTAATTTACGTATTGGCAGTAAGAATAAATATGAAATTATGACTCGTAAGAGTAAAATTAATTGCACGAGAAAATTTATGCTTTTCTTGTTTGATATGTGGCCAGGCTTTTCGTGCGTTACATTATATAGATCATTTTGCTTTATCACGATAACAATCATTCAATTCTGGCACTACCAATATCTCTCAAAATATTATAATTTCAACGATATATTTGATTTGATGGACTATTACAGTAGCTTTTTAACATACTTGAAATTAATTGTCAAATTCATTCTCTTTTAATTAAATGAGTGGTAAGTAACAAATGCAATGCAATTAATAAAATAATATCACTCTAAATCTGTAGCAATAAAAATTTTACTGCTAAAAGGGAGTAGCAAAGTCATTGCTTTAACTATGGATTTTTACTGCTTTGAAGTTAGTCTGTATATTTTTACAAAGGAGTGGACTATTTCATTCGATTAATCGAAGTGGTTAAAGCATTAATTGATAATGCATTGCAAAATGCATTGAATATTACTGCAAGGAGTGAATTTAGCGACATAGCGCACCGTTTATCGCATATTTGTCATTATGGTCGTTACGGGCGAGACGCATCTTGAGACAAATATGACATAAACATAAGAGACAGAATAAAATAATTAAAAATAAAATAATAATAATTAAAAATAAGTTTAATAGGTTAATAGATTGATAGCATGCTCTGTTCAAAATCTGTCTCCATAGGTTTTGTTATCTGAATTTGAAATGACATTATTCTAACTTCCAAATTAACTCCTTTTTAGAGTAAATTTTTTACTCTAATTATCGAATAGATTTTCCATTCCCATTTTGCAGTAAAATTCACTAACAGTGACATTGGCGCAATTGCCACTAATGCCTGTATTAAAATTTCAATTTAATGCAGTGAAATTTCATTGCTACAAATTTAGAATGATACGCAAATGTATTTAGAGCTGTATACTTATATTTGTTATTTTTTGATTTGATCAATTTATCGATTCGTGTACTATATGCTTAAAATTTCTGATATTTATTAAGAGTAAATGTTATTTTATTTGTATTTCTCGAATGCTCCTTTTTTTCTTTTTGCATCGTCATTCGATTTCGGAAAATAAAAAGAGACGAGAAATTAAAATTTTGCCGAACTGCTTTACAATTCAAGGATTAAGAAATCATTAAGTTCGTAATATAATTTATCATATTTTATATGACATAGAATATTCAACGAAATGTTGACAACGATGATAGAAGATTAGAATGATAGCGCTGACAATAATGTTGAGTTGCATGAGACATCAGACAAGGCAAAGACATCGGATCAGATCATCAACACGTTTGTGACTTTTCACACAATGGTAGGTTTTTTTTACGGCATGAGCATAGTGCTGGCAGATGTTAAGATCACCGATCAAACGATCGAACTACCTCACATTCATAAAAATGGAAGTTTCTTTTCATATAAATATACAGTTCATATGTATGTTATAGGATATGTATTAACTTCTCTTATTCCTAGAACTGGCTTACTTATTTAAATGTTTTGTGTTTAATTAATTTCAAAATTTACGACATTGTTTAAAATATGCTTGTGTTAATCATAGAAGTGATATATATTCTGGGTCCTTCCTGTGTTTTTAGTTTGATAAATAGTTTACTGTTATCTTTGGTGAGTTACAAGTATACAAGTAATTAATACAAATGCACAATTATTTATAATAAAAATAAATAAAAAATATATGTGTGGGAAAACTCAATTTACTTTAAAAGTATTTACTTCACTAGATATGTCAATTTTGTACAATTAGTTAAATTTTTTACTAACAAAAGTACTTTTGCAACTTACTGCAATTTAAAAATATGAGTTTTCATTTTCATAGATAGTAGGTTCTTTATTTTTAGACTCTACATGTGAGTGGTCAAATAAGTATCTTGCGTTACTAGTTTGCGAAGCTACACTGAAAGAAAAGATTGGTTGTTACAACAAATTAGATGGTTAAATATGGCATAACATTTTTAATTGGCTGCAGCATCCAAAAATTGGCTGTTGCAATCAATTAAAAATACTATGCCATATTTTACCATCTAATTTGCTGCAGCAGCCAATCTTTTCTTTCAATATAGTACCAGAAAGCATTGACAAACAAAAATTTACTATCATTATGAACAAAATTCAAAAACATCAGAAGATCATTTGTTTTTCGGAAAATATTGAGTATTTATATTTGTATATCGCGCTGCTGCAATTTACATATGATATTGTGATAATTACGTTAGTAAGATTTTTGGTCATAACTGTGAGTGTAAAACAGCTAATAAGCAGTATAAATACATACATTCACAGTTTATCGAATCATATTTCGATATTGTTGGCACTCGACGGTCGCGATGCGACGACAAAGATAGTAAGACTTGTTCCGTTATACATCATAATAAATATTGATACGTTCCTATTTTGCTATGCGGGAGAATATCTGACAAATCAGATTAACATGACAATAAATACTATTTATTTTCTTTTTAATTGTTCTATGAATAGCCTTTCATAGAATAATGAAAAACTATCATCAAACAATTAAAAAGAAGATTATAATAAAATTCTTGAAAAACAACATATTAGATCCTGTAGTAAACAAGAAAAATGCAAATTAATCAATAAAAGCCGATGATTTGGTTTAATGTTCAATTTATTTATTCTTTTTTTAATTAACTATCACTAGGAATGATAAATAATATAAATTTCTTTATTATTTTTACCTTTGCAGAGTAAAACTGTTGGATCCGCTGCATACAATTGTACCTGATACGATTTAAAATACAGTCGTATTCTATTATTCGCGATACAGAAATCGCAACATCTGACGCTCACAATTGGGAAAATAATGGATCTTTTGTTACAGCGTTTCGCAAAAGTAAGATTCGAGCACAGTATATGAGATAACTATTTGATTATTTATAACACATTTTCCGTTCTTACATATCTTCTAGAGGTTTATATTTACTTACATAGCTCCTCTTATCACTTATTGTTAGATATTGTAGACCAGGTCTGTCCAATTTGAGCTCCGGAACCAAAATGCAAAGCCGCATCGACGCAAAAAAAATTCATTATGAGTAAGATTTCGGAGAACTGTAAAGTATTGATAAGCGTCACTCAGATACGTATCGACACTTTACAATCCCCGAAATCTTACTCACATTGAATTTTTTTGCGTCGATGGCTTTGCGTTTTGACTCCGGAATTCAAATTGGACAGGTTTGCTGCTGACTATTATATTTATTGAGTATTATATTCTTATAATACTATAGCTTGAATATACATATAATAACAAATATATTAATTTCTGATGCGTTGTTATAAATCGTAAATGCTATGGGATCGTATTTATCGGTATTATTGGTGATAACTTCAAGTTTGTTTAAAATAATTTGACTAGCAATCAAATAAATTACAGAATAATATCGAACTATATGAACTATCTCTAAGCTGCAATATGGCATCTTGATATAAAAGAGATTGCCATGGTATTCTCGATTTCCACGAATCCCACGATCTTCCCTTCCTTCCCGACGCGACCCTTCGGAAACTTCTTTGTCTTTCTTTAGATCAATGCGCATGATTTTTCGATGTACTATAACATTATAAACCGGGCCTGTGTACATCGACCTCCGTCCTGCGTGATCGTACATTTTTAACGAAAATTGCATGGCACCGTACCGTTGGGCGCATAGGGCGGAAGGACGCATATCCCTCGGTTTTCCTGCCATCCGCAAAATTGACGATCGCCAACGATACGCGTTACCACAACTTTATCGTACACAGAGAGGTGAAAATATTTAATGAGCTGTCCCCTGCCCGGACGATGGTGGACGAAGGTTTCGTGGCAAGTAGCCCTCCGGCATCCTTCAGTCCATCCGCAGCGTCTACAGGTGCATGTCTCGTGCCTCTCTCGTTCATAAATCTATTTTACAATCGTGTCCAACGCTGATATACCTTCCGCATGCGTTTTGGTTAACTGTGAACGTTGTGGATTCATTTCATTAATTCTCGTCGATTGATAACGTGCCGGCATCAAACATTCTCTTTCCGTTCTTGATATAATTAATTATATTTATATATAATTATTTTCCGTAAACTGATAACAAAATCTCTGATATCTCACTTTAAGAAAGTTTACAACAAGTATCTCTCGCTTCTTTTAAAGGAAGAGATTTTCGAAAGAAGAAGAGTGCATGGCCTACTCTTATTTTAGCCTCGCCTTATCGATTATGTCATGAAGTGTTCGCGATTGATCGAGAATTAAATCTCGTCAAATGATGTCTGCTAATACAATTACCCGATCAATCGAGATCGGACTTCGGGTAGTCGGCATCTGGCCAGGCACGACCTACGCGATCATCAGTCGATTTTTCTGGACTACGACGATGATAGCCGCACAGATCTTTCAGTATCGCCACATGGCGATGCACCTTAATTCCGAGGACATCTCACAGCTGATGGATGGTCTAAGCGCGACGCTGTCATACAGTTTGTTATGTGTCAAGTTGATTGTTTTCTGGACAAAACAACGGTATGTCCGCATCGTCGCTACTTGTAGTTCATGACTTGCACTTCATGATCGTGCAAATCGAACAAATGTTTGATAATACAAAACTCGTATGCACCCGTAATTATCATTAAACTGTTCCAAAAAGTTATAGAACTAGTGATTGTTTTTTTACAAAGAAAACTTTGCGAGTACATTAGAAGTCATTATTTCGACAAATAACATATTTTTTCTTTCTCATGATACATCATCTCAACAATTTACAAACAATACATTTTTAATATCTCCTTCACTATCTTTCTTATCGTAATCATTATTACATTGAGAAATATCGTTATTAGCAACAATGATATCGATATCCATCTTCTCATCTTTCGACCTACCCTCTTCATCATTCATCATCGCATAGAGACAAATAGTGTCCTAATCATAGTCTTCGAGAAGGGAACATCTTCGCTCTCGCGGTGCTGCACGAAATCGATTCTTCCTAGAATATTCAACGACGTGTTAGCGAGTATCGCGACGGACTGGAAGGAATGCGGGGATGCCTTGTACAGCATGAATAACGTGGCCAATCTCTCGCATCGTTTTTCCAATTTGATCATCGGCTTGCACTCAACGGCCGTGCTGTTCTATGGCATTGGCGTCATTGCCCTGCGCAGCGACGACGTCGTCGACGCTGCCGATCGTGAACTTTTCCTCAAAATGGAGTTACCCTTCGACAGTGGCACGTCGCCAATTTACGAGGTCGTCATGACCACGCAATTCCTGCATCAAATGACGGCCGCCACTGTGATCGGTGTGCTCAGCGCACTGCTCGTTACGCTGGTAAGTTGGAGCCTTGGAGGCTTTCAACCCTCAGGGGATTTTGAAGTTCCCGACTGAGATTACCCTAGGGAGTGCATCCCGAGAGATAGCTCACATTACTGCGATAACTGTTCGTAGCACATTTCAATTTATTTAAGAAAAATTCAATGAAAACTTATTTGTGGAAAATTAATTTCTAAATGAGTATTGATTTGTTGAAATTATTAAACGAATTTTGGATGCTAGATATCTTATTTGTCTTTTCTTAATTAATGTTAAAAATATTGATTGTTGTCGTCTTGTTAAAATATTTATATTTAATATTTAATATTTAATATTTGTTAGAACACGTCTCTATGAGAATATTTATTTCTATCTGTGAGATTTTAGATATATCAATAAATTATAAAAATTGTTAATAAATCTCTGTTTCAGTAAAAATGTTAAAATATCTGTTATCTAATATAATATTATATATATAGTGTTAGCAGACATGGGGGAAGATTATCATACAGGGTTGATTGTCAAAAAGCTAATAACTCAATTAATATATAAAGAGCATTCTCTCCATTTTACTTTATATTACTGATATAATATTAAATTATTGCATAATAATTTACGTCCTTATATTACTAACAACAATTTTTAAGAAAATGAAATTGAAGAATAAATTTTTCTTATCTTCTATATTGTTTTTTAGTTAAATTAATATATATATATATGTTATATATATATATATATATAAGTTGCGTATCTATAATTGAAATAATTATTTTACTTATATTAATGCTACAATTACTATTATTTATTGATATAACTGTCATTAAAATAAAAATTGTATTTTTTGTATGTTTTATCTATATAAAATATGTTATTGCTAATTCTGACACGTGTGGCAATCAACCCCGAATATGAAGCTATAATTGTCACAGGTTTGTTTAAAATTAAATGTTTATTTAATTTTAAATATAGTTTATTTGTACGATCATGTATTTTAATATTTTTGTTAATACCTAAGGGATGTAGATGTATTACAATATATGTATATAGTGTTTTAAGAATTTACAGCCACTTTTTCCTGAAAATCATTATTCAAAAACTATGACAAGTGTGTGTGTGTGTGTGTGTCTCTATATTTTTTTAATACTTTCATATAATATTAAAATTTATAAAGTGATCGGATAATAGAATCAAATCTCTAGGTACTTCATGTAGGTGGTCAAGTAGACATTTTACGGGAAAAATTATTGGTCATTTTACCAAAGGAAAAGAAAGCATCTGTCTCCATGATTACGATAGGCTCCTTAATTCGAAAACATCAAAACATCATCGTTTTCACTGAAAAGATTGAGAATCTATACTCATATATTGCACTAGCCCAATTCATATCAAATACTCTCGTTATATGTTGCTTGGGTTTTATCATCGTAAACGTAAGTAATTTTAATGGCTCTTTTGCAGCACAGATTAATAATCACATTTCTGACTTACATTGATGACACATATACATCGAATATTTATGAAAACCAATTTTTATCGTTTATAAGATGTTATTACCTTTTTTTATATACATGTATGTATACATGTATTATATATATGTATATATATATATATATATATATATTTATTATATATACATATATTGTGATAATATGTGTGATAATAAATTATAATTTTAATATTTTATAATGCAATTATTATTATTTCTTAAAAGTAATTATTATTATTAGTAATCACTATTATTCCGCGGTAGAAAAAATCCGATTGTGCACATATTTTCAATATTACAGTCGATCGGCGCTAATGAAGGCTCCTCTATGTTAGTGAGATCTCTTTTATTTTACGTCGTCATTAATTTAGAAGCGTTTATCTTCTGTTTTGCTGGCGAATACTTAAGTATCAAGGTGAGCGGCTGTTGACTTTACTATGGCAATTTTATTTCTCTTATTTTCCACGTTCCGAATTTTCGCTTCGGTTTGACTTTCTGCAGAGCAAGACGATCGGCGACGCAGCGTACGAGTCTCTATGGTATGATTTGAGTCCCAGCGAAAATCGAATCCTTCTATTCCTGATAATGAGGTCACAAAAACAACTGACTATCACCGTTGGCAAGTTCATGAATCTCTCTTTGCAACAATTCGCGAATGTAAGTTTTACATAACGTTGCTCGAATTATTGTTGAAACTGTGCATCTTATTAATAATAAGTTATTACATTCGCTAAGTGTAAATTATGAATTTTATAATATATACAACTATAATATTTATTTTTTATACACGTAGCAATTTTGTTTATCGTAGATCATTAAATCGTCAGCATCATATGTCTCTGTGCTGCACGCGTTGTAATTATAATTACTAATATTGAATTACTTGATATCGCTGGAAATTAAAATAATGAAAAATTATTCTATTTTTGATAAAAGTCAATGATCAGCTGACGTCCCTTTGGTTAGCGTCCTTCTATTGCAATAATATTTACGCAAAACGTTGTTAAACGCTCACAGTTTACGCCACCAGCTCACTAAAAATATGCCGTTATTTCTGAAGGCAGGAGAAAGAAAATATTTTTTGTAAAACGCGCAAGTCATGGGCTTTCATTCCCTAAAAGAACTTTGAAACGCCATTCTACGCTAAATTGTGGAAGTTACCCCGACGCCGATGCAGCGGGAACTCTCCCCTTGTCCTCGTTATATTCGCATGTATTTCGTTCTGGCGATACCGCGCGATCGTGCCAGATGGCTACAACGAATAGATCGCAACGCCAATGAAATTATACTGAGATTACTTAGCGCTATTTCGCGCGTACAATTAGGACGCTTTCACACGGCAACGGAAATCAGCCCCTAGAGAGGCAATTTTATTAGAGACGGCCGTGTCTGCGTAGCACAAGTTGCTGTAATCCTATCGCTCCTCGCGGTCGTTCAATTTGCGAACTTCGAGTTTACACCCGGTACGAGAGAAGAGAATTTATGCCTCGTGTCGTCTGATAAAAAATATACATCTTATACGTTAACCGTGTCAAGGTAATGTATGAGGGAATTGTGGAATCCTATTCTTCGTACACAATTTCCTGTCCGTTAAAGAATTCCGACATGATATTATCCCACAAAAGTTCCTTAATGAAATCTCATTTTCAATTAGATTTTTAATTGAATTTTTTATGAAAATGTAAAATGATCATTTATTACGAATGTACGTTTCTAATTTTATTCTGTAATCACCTGTTTTAATTGCTTATATTAAATATTTTGACAAGAGAAAAATTTCGTATTTTTATATTAAATATTTTTTAAATATTAATTATTTTCTCTCTCTCTCTCTCTCTCTCATAATTATGTTTGAATCTGATACTGTACAGAATGTTCGTTCAAAAAATTGTTCTACAAATTTATTTTACATACACAGAGTATAATTTTTGAAACAAAAACTTTTATTCCCTGCGGCGGTTTTATATCGCTGTAGGATATGAACTTTCTAGATTGTCTAAGAATTATATCCTGACAATGTAAATCATGAATTTTCGCTTACGTTCAGATTTTATGTAATGATGTGGCGATGTCGCCACATCTTACTAAGTATAGAATTATCGGGGTCGGAACGTTGGCGTAACAAATTTTTCTTCGAATTTCTCATCACGCTGAAAATTCTTGATTTTTGCATTTATAGTCTCAACTTCCTTACGATTTTCTTGAATTTATTGACATGGAACACTATATAAAATGTGCCAAGTAGAAAAAGACTGTTAATATTCCTAAATAATTTTTTTTAGAAAAACGTGCACTTAATTAATCCAAATAATGAATACGCTGCTATGGCTTTTGAAAAAATAATATGACTAGACGCCTTCGTATTATTATTTTTTTATCAGATTGACGCATCGAATTTTTAAAAAAAATTATACAAAAAGTAGATCTGTTATTTAAGTTGTATTTCTAGAGATACTACATGCCTCCCTATCACAGTACAAATAAATTTTAATATAAATGTAATATAAATGTTTTATAAATGATTGTAAAAGTTATGCATTTAATTTGCTATGTATTTTTTTCTTATTAGTTTCATCAAACATATGCGAGACATGGGTCAAAAATAAAAAATAAGAGACGGACTCTATACAATATAGATATATATATTATGTGCTTCACTATTTAAAACGCTAGGTTCGTTACCAGGACTAAAATTAAATCCATCAAAACAAATACAATTTACTGAAATTTGATCGAGCTAATTTTACATCGAAGGAGTAAAACCTGGCTGACAATTTTACTTCTCCATCGTGAATCTCCAACAAGTGGAGATCTCGCGTGCGAGTACCCGCAGGTAATGAGCGAACCAGTCGTTTCCAACTTTTTGACGTTTAGAAGCGGTACGATTTTCCGGGGAAAGCTGCACCAGTAGTGGCAGTTACGGTGGCGGCGGTGGTGGTGATGATGGTGGTGGCGGTGGTGGTGGCAATGATAGTGACGGCGGCGGCGGCGGCGGCGGCGGCGGCGGTGGTGGAAGCGGCGACGACTACTTCCCCGGGCCGAGCGAATTGGTTTCCATGGAAACCATCCCGAAGCCAATCCGGGGTGCATTCGTACGTACATTTACCCTTGTCGTGGCGCGTCTGCAGCACCCTCTCTTCTCCCCTTCTTCCGCTTACCGCCCTCAACCTCTATAAACTCGCACCCTCTCTCACTCTCATCTCTCGCACAGCTCTTCGTTCTCTCCGACATTTTTTCTCCGTCTGTCTTCCTCTCCTTTTTTCTTTCACTTTCTTTCCCTTTTTTGTCTCTCGATTCAAGTTGTTCCTTCGTCCGCAATTCCTCACCGTTTTCCGTCTCTTTTTCCTTACCTTTTTCATTCATTTTATTTATTCCTTATCCACTTTTATTGTTTTGTCTGCACACGGTCTTGCCGTATCTTCAAGCCATTTATTACTTCGCGCTCTGGTGATCTCGTCACTTGTGAATCCAAGAATAAAGTTTCCACCTCCATTTAAACATTTTGTTTAAATAATAAACGGACACAAATATAAATAATATTTTTAAAAAGTTATCGGACTTGTCTAAGCATAGTTAACGTTCATTTTGTAAATGAACTTTTCTCACGTTAAATATGATTTTCAATAGTACTGCGACCATTTTTGTAATCTAGGTCGAGAGTTGAAAGAACTGCGATTCAATTGAGTTCCGGAGTATAAATTAAACATTTGGACATTCTGTACAATAGAGAACTTTTAACGAAGAAGAACTTTTCTCTATAATGTTTCATCTTCGAGAAATACACACGAGGGATACTCGAAGGTTTTTACTACATCAGGTATATAAATAAATATTAAATATTGTTCTCGTTTAATATGTTTCTTCCGTAAATCGTATCCCCTTTTTTTTATTAAAACTGTTATGTTAGGACTGTTTATTTGTTATTCTTTTTGGCAGTCCATCCATCATAAAGTTCATTAATTATCTTGTTGCTACCTCTTTTTTAGTCTTTGATTTTTCTGTTACCTCTTAGTTCCTAAGCACAGCATGCGCGTTCTATCTTTATTCTGCTCTCGTTTATTTCAGTCCACGAGGTTGTCGCTGGATCCATAAAGCGACGATGTGACATGTCGATCGTTACGTGACCCTAGAAATGTTATTACGTGTCCCATTACTCCTGCTCCAAATATGTTACTCAGCGATTCGATGATCCGCAAGGATGTATTTCGTTCGACACATCATAGCATTCAAGTCTAGCGAATTATGCTAATTTCGCGTTCGTCTTTAGTGTACAGCAAGAGCAATATAAATTTTATTTAGAGGCTGGAATTTAGAAATATATATTGCAATATTTGAAAGAGATCGAATTTAAAAATTACAAATTATATCGTTTCTAGAGTATAACATTAAAACGTAATGCACTGAAAAGAGAGTTTGATAATAACTATTAATTATCAAATGTTAAGTAAAATAATTTCAGTCAAGTGTTCAATTAATATAATAAATATATAATATATTAATCTAATAAATATTTTGGTTGATAATATTATTATGTTTAGGAATACTTACTAAAAATATTTATAGAAAAGTAAAATTATTTTTGGTTCTATTAACTGAACATTTGATTGGAATTATTTCACTTAACAATTGGTAACTTTACTAGACTCTTTCTTCAATATGTTAAAATTTGTATCTTATTAAATTGAGTAATATACTGCAATAACGTTCTACGGAGAACGCGCAAATCGTGAACTCTATCTGTCAGAGAAGATTATTTCTTCCTTTTAGACGAAATAAGTACATGTGGCATCGATTCTGGAACTTTGCTCGCAGGGAATGTCGCGGAAATCAAATTTCGCCTTGCAACACGTGAGTACCGACTCTTTTGTTACTTCGTGAAAAACAGCTCAATGCTGATGCGTAAAAAGGAAAGGAAGTTCGTAAGGAAGTTTATAGTCGCTTGTTCAATAATTTTATTCTCGAAGGAGGCATGACTCCTTTGTCGTAAGCTTAGAGTTCAGTTACTTTATTGCCTCATAATACATATTTATATTTAATTTACCGAGTCTTCGAAGACTTCGTAAACCTTTCCTCCGTCATGTAAATGACTGTATAATCACGGAAATTACATCGGAAAGCACAATAGCATTAAAGTGAGAAGAAATATTTTAATTTCGTTATTAAAACACGTGATAACAATAATTATTCCAATTTCCTAAGTCCTAACGTATAATATCTTTCAGTCGATTTACATTTTTAATGTAAACGCGATTAAAGAAGAGAAATTAATACAATTTTAACATTGTTCATAATTCACACAATGTGATTACAATATGTAAACGAGTACGATAAGAAAACTGATTTATAATTCATAAGTTACCCTCCAGTTATCACTCATGAATCATTCGACGGTCACATTTCTGCTTATTCCTGCAACAGCTACCGGTAGAATTAAAATTCATACCGAACGCATTACTCGACCGCAATTAACATGCATTAAAACACGGTGGTTTTTCAGTAGAGCTGACATGTGCGATCAGACCGATTTATGTAACTCCTTTTTCCCTCTGGCGACGTGATTAACGTCCGCAAGCATAATTTAATTGTAAGTATATTACAAGTGCACATGTTATTGACGCATATTCAAAATGTGAGGCAACCACGCGACGTAGATTGCATGTTTCAACATGATTCGTAAAGGTAGCGTCATATACGACGATAATCGTCTATCTTTATCATACGCATCAACCGATCGTGAGAACGTGCCTTCGGCACTCACGATAGTCAGCACACGAACACACATTTCCCGATATGAGTAAGCAAACGAACCGCTTCTACGTTCAAGGACCATCCTCTTGCTTTAGGACAAGAGTGTACGAT